GCCGCCGCTTCGTCTCTTCAGGGATCTCGCGAGACCACGTCAAGGAAGCCGGGTGTTTTCCCTTCCCCCTCCTCCTTTCCCTCAAGCGTGTGCTAACCAGCCAGAGAGCGAGATAGGCCAGGCGCGCGGGGATTCTCGGGCGGCGCTTTGGGGCGTTCTGTGGTGGGGAGGGGGAAGAGGAGGAGGAGGAGGAGGAGGGGCCGAGCGGGCGAGCGGTCCACCGCGGTGTTCTGTGGGATACAGGCGGTGCTTGCCTCTTCTCCTGGGTGCGGATCGCCGCCGCCGCCGCCGCCGCCGACGAAGCGCACAGGGCGAGTGAGGGAAGGGGACGAGAGCCGAGCGGGGCATGAAGATGGCGGACGCCAAGCAGAAGCGGAACGAGCAGCTGAAGCGCTGGATCGGCTCCGAGACCGACCTGGAGCCGCCCGTGGTGAAGCGCAAGAAGACGAAGGTGAAGTTCGACGACGGAGCCGTCTTCCTGGCCGCCTGCTCGAGCGGGGACACCGAGGAGGTGTTGCGCCTGCTGGAGCACGGCGCCGACATCAACTACGCCAATGTGGACGGACTCACCGCGCTGCACCAGGTCCGTGTCTGCCCGCTCGGGGCCCCGAGGCCAGGCCTAGCTTGGCTTGAGCTGCGGCGGAGCCTTCGACGAGGTTGGGGCCTGGCGGACGGCAGGAATGTCTTTCCTCTCTGCCCAGCCAGAGCTCTCTGTCACCCGGGGATGGGGGTGCGGGATGGCCTGGCTCACTTCTTCCCTCTCCTCTTCTCTCTAGGGGAGCCGGGCTGGCTGCACCCACCTCTTTTTGGCCCAGGAGTGTTGTGTTTTGCGGAGGAGGGTTCCTGGTTGGGCGGTTTAGGAGAGGGCCTTACTGTACCGGGAGACGGGTGGCATTGTGGCTCTCCGCTTCCTTCCCTCCCTGCGCTTGGCAGACCGGGGCTTGTGGGGGAGTTTGTTTCCCTGAGAGACTTGGAAAAGGGGAGGGGGCATCGCTTGTCCCCCCCCCCCCCCCGTTGTGGTCCGAAGGGAAAGAATATTCCCCGTCGTGAGGGGGTGACTTAGATGTGGATATTCGCTCCCACAGTTGGAAGGTTTAGGGTTTGCCACTACTGAATGGCTACCGTTTCCTGTGTCCTTTCACCCTAAATCGGTTGAAGTGTAAATAGGACTTTCCTATTCCTAAGAAAATAGTTTCTTCTCTTGTCTCTCCCTCCCCAGGGTTTGGTCTTGTTTTCAAAAGCTGGGTGTTAGTTTCTGCTTTTCCTGCTGTTTAGTCTGTGCTGTGCAATATGAACTCCAGTCCTTCAGCACTGACATCCAGTATGTGTGTGCTTTTTCTTAAGAGTGGAAAGTTATAAAATCATTAGTGCAATAATGCTGGTTTATGTTTGCACATTAAAAATAAAACCTTTTTTTAAAAGGTTAAGATGGAAAGGAAACTGGTTGAAGCTTTCTCAAAATGGATGCTTAGTGCACTAAAGTTTTATATGAGCCTGATTGGAATCTCAAAATATTATCCAAATAAGGAAAGACTGTGGCAATCTGGACATAATGCGGGTTTGCTTGAATACTTGTGTTCTATTAACAGGCCAAAAGCAATAATAACATTAGTTCACTGAATATCAGAAAACCAAGAATAATCACTTTGACAGTTTGATATTTGTTTTGAATGTTAGTTGTCCTGGTATTTCCATAAAGACATAGTAATAAGGATTTGTATAGGAATCATCTTTATACAGCATACTTATTCGTTGAAAGTATAGTGGTTCATTAATTGCATCAAACACATTTCAAGTTAGTATGTATTAAAATTATGGATTATGAAATAAGTATGAGAGAAACCTCCCTGTTTCTGTGTTGCTTCAAGATAACTTGTTAACTGAAGAGGACTTACGTGTTATGCATATCTTGTTTTTATTGCTGTGCAAGGTGCATAATCAGCCCTGTCGCCTAAATGAAATCAGTCCTCCCGTGAAAAGGGTTGTAATCTCTTCAGAAAATTCATATGAGTTTATAAATAGGTTACACTAAGAAGAAACTACTGAAGAATATATAGAACTTGCATGTAAGAGCTAATGTGGTTCAATGGTAGAGTACTGGCTTAGCACTGACTTCAAATCTCTTCCATGAAACTCACAACGTGATTCTGGGCCAGTCATTCTCTCTGCCTAACTTACCTCAATGGGTGGCTGAGATGATAATAGTGGAGATGAAGAGAACCATGTATGCCCTTCTAAGCTCCTTGGAGGAAGGGTTGGATAAAGAATGTGGTAATTAGATGACAACATTTGGTTTTAATTGTAAGTTCCCCTGAGCAGGACTCTGAAGAGTCAGCATAGAAATATTCTGAATAAATAAGACTAATTTCTATAAAAGTTTTGCCTCCAAGACCAGCTGTTTCCCATCATCCTGGAGAAATCATTTTATTGTATCTAACCACCTGTTATTGGGTTAGATGCTAATCTATTTTGTAAGCTTTGAAAGATCCATGGTTAGATCTTTGTGTAATGACATTAAAAAGATTCTGCTGCTCTGCTATGACAGTAAGAAGGTAATAGGGGCAAGATAGTTGCTAGCAACTTCTTTGAGAGGAGGTTGCTTATGGTAGCTTTATTGAACATGATTAGCTTTGTCAATGCTCTCAAGCTTATGCTGACAGCTCTCAGACTTGGGGATTTGTTTACTTCATTTATACCCTGACTTGTTTCTCAATAGTGACCCGAAGAAGATTACAAAATTCTCTCTCCTCCATTTTATCCTCATGACAAGCCTGTGGGGTAGGTAAGGCTGAGAGTGGTGACTGGCTCATGGGGATCCAGTGAGCCTCCATGACCGACCGAGTGGGAGTTCAAACCAACATCACCCAGATCCTAGTCTGAGACCACCAAACCACACTTGCACTGGATGGGAGTTTGTGCATAAGATCTGCCCATTTCTTAGTGCCTTTGGCAGTGATACCACTAAACATATTGGGGATGTTGGAAGCTTGGATTCTAAATGTGTGTGTTTGGGAGCACAACCTGTTAACTTCAGTGGCCCTTTCCAGTTATAGATAAGATCACAGCCTTAATAATATTTTCTCTGAAATAGTTACGTTGTGGAATTGTTGGAATAAGAAGCTTTATAGGTGGGATTTGCTACTTTGTATTTAGGATGCATTTCCTGAGGTGGTGTCTAGCAGGACAAGTTCATATCTGAGGTCTTGTCACTTTAGCTTCTTTTGCTATGTAGGATTCTACTGTTGGAAACATCTGACTCCTGCACTTAATTCTGCAGTTTTATCTGTATTATTGAATTAATTTATTCAGACCTTTGACAGAATAGAAACTGGAACTTGGTTGTAGCCATTGCTGGGCAAAGGATGTACCAGTTTCTGTTGGTGTGTGTACTGCTGTTAAGACTCACTACACCATTATTAATAGAAACTGGTGTAGTGAAAATGATTGCGTTGTCAGTATCTTTCTTTTTCTGGGTCAGCAAGGCCATAGCTTCAAATATAATACTTTAAAATGTAAGTGCATGGTTTACAATCCTAATTGGAGATCCACCCTACTAACTTCAGTTGATTTAGAAAGCTATAACTCTGCTGAGGATGGCAGTGTTAGTGTTTTCAGTACAGACAAGTAACACTGACTTAGTGTAGAATGATTTAACTCTCATGGATGGTATCTTTAACTTAAGTACCTTTTCTGTGCTGAAAGTGATGCTTGTAATTTTGAAGGTGTGTACAGAAGGTCAAAAGAATAATAAAAGGGCTCCAGTAGTGTGTTCCTATAGGTTATTCAAAACATTATTAGCAGAGGAAAGTTAGAGTGCAATGGCACCTTTAAGACCAACAAAGTTTTATTCAAGGTGTGAGCTTTTGTGTGCAAGTACACTTCATCAGATTAAATGGAATCGCCTGATGAAGCGTGGGTGCACATGAAAGCTCACACCTTGAATAAAACACTGTTGGTCTTAAAGATGCCATTTCTGTTGTTTCCATCATGGCTGCCCACCTTGATCTATTATTGGAGGAGGGTATTTCTTAATATTTTGCTATCTTCTGAGGCAAAAAGAAATTGTTCAGCTATTAGCCATTTTTCATTTATTTACTAGTCTTTCCATGGACATATGACACATAAAACTGCCTGATATTGAATCAGATCTTTGTTCCATCAAAGTCTATATTGTCTACCCAGACTGGCAGCAGCTCTTCAGGGTCTCTGATGGAGGTCTCCTTTATCACCTACTATGTGACCCCTTTAACTGGAGATGACGGGGATTGAACCTGGGTCTTTCTGCATGCCAAGCAGATGCTCTTATCATTTAGCCATGGCCCATCTTCCTATGGGAGAACTGGGACAAAGTTGTTGTGATAAAGAACTACGCAGCTTATTTTTTTTCTTGGGCAGAAAAAATAAGCATCATCATTGTTAGAACTGTAGAACCCAAAAGGCGCCACAACATAAAAATGATATCAGCACCATCAATTAAAACGTCAAGAAAGAAGACTTGTCAGAAGTCATATGTGGGAAAATGGGTTTACTAATTTCTCCTTAAAATCTTCTGGAGATTGGAAAAGAACTTTTAACCAGAGGACCTATCAGTGAGTCAGCCATTCAGAGAGTACCTGTTGTTTATTTACTGTATTTCTGTACTGCTTGTTCTTGTTGCTTAAAGGGGTTTACAGTAAAAGAAACAAATTAAACTACCAGAAACCTGACATAGCAAAACATTAATAAAACTAAACACTACTAAAACCAAGTCAGGAAAAAGCTATCTAAATAGTACTGCTTTACACTGCCACATCAGCTGGATAATTAGGTCAATTTGCAGCCATTCCATATGACAGAACTACAATTCCTGCACTTACCTTCTTTAGTGAGAAGAAAAGAGTGTACCTTGTTGTGGGGATGCTAAGGTTTTCCTGCATTCATACAGTGATCCTTGAAGTAGGATGAACCCAGACTATAATGGGTGTTAAAGGTCAAAATGAGCACTGTGAATTGGATCTGGCAGCAAACAAGTAGCCCATGCAGCTTCTGTAATACTATGGTCATATGGGTAGTGTGATTGAAGCCTGTTAATAGATGGGCTGGTGCATTCTGGATCCCTTGAACTAGGTTTGGAAGTACACTTGACAACCCATGCAAAGTGTTGGGTTAAAGGTATGCTTCCCACACCTGTGGGAAAGGCAAGCAATCACATTTTGCGTTAGTTAAAGCTTCCAAGTATCTTAAGAAAAGTGCTACATAAAGTGCATTGCATTTGTCAGTCTTGGGAGTTACTGAAACATGCATTTGTGTGGCAAGGGCAGCCTTCTCTCAGAAGGGGTGATAGCAAGTGCAGGTGGTGAAAAGCACCTCTAGCAATGGTTTCAAACTGGTAATAGAATTGCTGGCTTCTAGAAGCTCATCTGGTTGTACAGGGAAGTAATTACCTTGTCTGATCATACCCTGACAGTAACTCACATTGGGACTTAATGTTAAATAAATCTGCATATAAGCAGTAAATTTGTGTCCAAAATTTTAGTTTTGCCACCTACTAACACTGCAAGCAACATGCACTGAAAAAACTATGAGGTGATAATGTGTGTCTTG